TACAATATTTACTATTTTATTGAGACTTACAAGAGTGCTCAGAGACAAGCTTTAACTTCCCTTGATAGTAGTTAAGTTTCAAAGCATCACCCAACACCATAATGCTGGAAAACAATTAAAATTACTGGCCACTAAATATTTATTACAGCAGCATATGCTCATCCCATTGCAACTCCATCAGATTGATGGCTTTTAAAGTGTCCCTGACGATTCACAAATGATAGTGTGTTTCAAAGCTAACAAAATCCAAACTCAATAGATTCATGTTGATTTGCATTGTGGCAATTTGAACATCCCATAACTTGCACACAAAACACTGTTTCCTTAGCTCACAATAGCAAAGATTTTACAGTAGAATCCTGCAGTGTACAGAATGTTGTAGTCCTGTTACTAGGACTCTATTGTTCTTATATACTTCTTATATACTATTGTACTTATATATTTAGAATGATACGATGGAATATAATCCCAACTAAATGACACTTGTCAAATGAGCAACATACATCTTGTAATGCATAATACTTGGTTCTATTGTATTTGTTTGCTTACATTCAAAATGCTGTAATTCACAGTAGGTATCCTGATCATTAGTGCTAATTAGCAAGATTTTAATGTTGTTTTTATGTAAATAAAGTTGTCACTTCATGTGGTGAATCAGACTTGCAACATATGTCACTTTCTTTCATTTGTTTGTCTATGTTTTGATTTGAAAAGAGGAATGCATTTGTGTAGATTAGTGATATCTTATCCATAGGGTGTGAAGCTGGGGATGATCTAGGCCAATAATTGCATCCAGGAGGTCAGTATCAAAACACTGTTGAGTATTTGGACTGGATTTTGAATATATTTCCTGAAGTCTTCATTTTCTCTGATATATGGTCTGTGATAGAGCTCAAATTAAAATAAAGAGGTCTTCTAAAACGAATTAAACACTGCAGCCCTATAACGGTATAATTATGTCACGTAAGGGTATGAAAGGTAGTTTTATCGACCTAACCCCCTGTGTGGACAGTGCTGTGTCATTGGGAGACATGGCTACTACCTCTTAGGGAGGTGGATTAATTACACCAGATAGGAGACACTCCACGTCGGCATAGGAGCATCATCATTTAAGTGCTGCAGTGGGGTAGCTGCACCATTGTAGCCCCTTACGTGAGGACAAGACCTAAGTGTTACCATCCTGTTAAATTTTGTATTTTAGGGTAAGACTGAGAGACGATAAGGTGTTATCTGAAGAGTTTAAAATGTGGATCGACTGCTACTATAGCTAAAAGCTGATAGTACTCAAATATTTAAGCCTGTCATAAGTGACAAGAGTCCTACATTAGCTGCAAAATAATGTCAGAAGAAAGCTTTTAATAAAGGCCTTTTACAGGAAAAAATGCACTTACCACTCAATGAAAGTGCTAATAGCTTATAATCTGTATGTTTTACATAAAATATTGTGAAGAGCCAAAAAAAAATTCTGTGATTTCATTTTTATTTTTTGTTCTTACTTGAAAAATACTTTCTGCTCTACTGTGCTGTAACATATTAGAATCATGCAATATAATTTTTATTTTAAGTGTGTCTTCCTCCTACTACCTTTAATTTCCAAAACAAACCACCTCGAGAGGACAAATTGCTATACTACACTTCCCTGTGAGTGAAGATGTAAGTATGTACGTCACACTTCACTGTACCCATCTACTGTCTTTCTTTGAGTGGGCAGGATATTGAAATTGAAGACAATACTATCCTCTGAAGTGCTTTAAAGAGTTGAAGTTTCATATATTTCATTACTATGCTTGATTGAAAGCAGCAGACGGGCAGAACAGGAGCTAAAGCATGATGTTCATGCATGCAACCATGGTTCAAAACATGGCTCATAAATCTAATTTTAGGTCTGCCAGCCTTGACAATGTAATTTTAACAGTAGTGCAAGCTTTACCTTAGCATGAGATCTTTGAAAATGTAAACACCATGAAATTATAAATATTGATGACAGCTTGTTGCAGAAACTATGAGTTTGAAAGAATACTTTGCTATATCTTGCCTGACTGCTGCCATTGATTTCATGGTCTGGTAGACCTTAAAGGACAATGGAACATAACATTTCATTGTGGTTGTCATTATGAATTTAAGGTGAATCTAAATGTATTGCTATAAAACCATCTTCATACTTGTACACTTGTCTTTGGCAAAGCCATTGGGGCTGACTGGTGGGGAGATGTGTTGATGGATAATAAAGCACCTACACTCCTGTGAATTCAGATGGACTAGGGTGGATTGTGCTTTCCTCAAAGCAGGTTCATGCTTTTTAGGGAATAATACAGTGATGAATATCAGAAAACTCTGCAGCTACTTCACTCAGCATTTAATCCTTTATAGAGAAAAGTAGGCATTTTAAACCAGTATTACAGGTGTGTTGTAAGCAAAACTCGTGAAGTTATTCTGCCGCTCTACTCTGCACTAGTTAGGCCTCAGCTGGAGTACTGTGTCCAGTTCTGGGAGCCACATTTCAAGAAAGATGTGGAGAAATTGGAAAGGGTACAGAGAAGAGCGACAAGAATGATTAAAGGTTTAGAGAACATGACCTATGAAGCCAGGCTTCATGAACTGGGCTTGTTTAGTTTGGAAAAAAGAAGATTAAGGGGGGACATGATAGCGGTTTTCAAATATCTAAAAGGGTGTCACAAGGAGGAAGGAGAAAATTTATTCCTCTTGGTTTCTGAGGACAGGACAAGGAGTAATGGGCTTAAAGTGTAGCAGGGGAGGTTTAGATTGGACATTAGGAAAAAATTCCTAACTGTCAGGGTGGTCAAATATTGGAATAAATTGCCAAGGGAGGTGGTGGAATCTCCCTCTCTGGAGATATTTAAGAACAGGTTAGATAAACATCTGTCAGGGATGGTGTAGACGGAGCTTGGTCCTGCCTTGAGGGTGGGGGGCTGGACTCGATGACCTCTTAAGGTCCCTTCCAGTCCTATTATTCTATGATTCTATGATTAGATTACTATAATATAAATAAGTAGGGGGCTGTGCCCCCTACTCACTATGCTCACCAACCCCCCTCTCTCTGCCAGCTTTCATGGCCAGAGAGTGTGAGAGCTACGTGCTTGCCAACCCCCCCACCCGGGGGTAGGGTGTCTGGCCAGGAGGGAAGGGGACAGGAGCAGGGCAGGGTGCAGGAGCAGGCTGGGGGTAGGTGTTTGTGCAGAGGGAAGGGGCAGGGGCAGGTGCACAGGCTGGGGGTGCAGGGTCTCAGTGGAGGGTGTCTGTGAGGGGGCTACGGGTGCAGGGTCTCGGTAGGGTGAGTGAGAAGGTTGAGGTGTGGGGTCTCAGTAGAGTGGTGAGTGAGCAGGTTGAGGATACGGGGTCTCAGCAGGGCAGTGAGTCATGGGGCTAGGGCCGTGATGGGAGCCCGTGCTGGCCCTGCAGCCTCACCCCCTCAAGCTGAGACCCCAGCTCCCTCACTCACCGCCAGAACTCCTGAAAGGGATACAATCATTTGAAAAGGTTGAGAGCAACAATCCTACACCATGTGTGAACTCCTAATGCTTTGCAGAGGGAAGGGGCAGGGGCAGGTGCACAGGCTGGGGGTGCAGGGTCTCAGTGGAGGGTGTCTGTGAGGGGGCTACGGGTGCAGGGTCTCGGTAGGGTGAGTGAGAAGGTTGAGGTGTGGGGTCTCAGTAGAGTGGTGAGTGAGCAGGTTGAGGATACGGGGTCTCAGCAGGGCAGTGAGTCATGGGGCTAGGGCCGTGATGGGAGCCCGTGCTGGCCCTGCAGCCTCACCCCCTCAAGCTGAGACCCGAGCTCCCTCACTCACCGCCAGAACTCCAGAAAGGGATACAATCATTTGAAAAGGTTGAGAGCAACAATCCTACACCATATGTGAACTCCTTATGCTTAATGATTGCTCCCTTCTCGTATGTAGCTGTGATGCACTGTTCAGCTTCCCCACACCCAAAGAAGAGCTGTGTGAAAGCTTGAAAGTCTGTCTGTGCCACTAACAGAAGTTGGGTCAATTAAAGAGTTTTGCCATTTACCTGGTGCTTAATTTCCACGGTCTCCGGGCTCCTGGCATGGGCCACATCCCTGAGCCAGCTCCATGTGGGTTGGTCCTGGGCTCTGTCGTGTACTTGTGGGTTCAGTCAATTCTGGCTCAGCAGCACAACAGCCAGCCACAGTGGCACAGGAGGGGGGTGGAGATCATGACTGCCACCAGCATCTGGCTCTGTGCTCAGGCTGCAGGGAGCAGGGAGGCCAGTGGGGGGAAGCAGCACAGGTGTGGAGGAGTAGCCAGGACAGTTCCAGTCCTGCTGCTGGGGATGGGAGCCCAGCCACGGCTAATGCTGCTGCCCATGTGGGGCTGGTGGGGCCCGGAGCAACTGAGCCATCTGGGGCAAGCTGATCCTACCCCTGGGGTGACTTTGAGGCTGAGCCTCCAGGATGGGGTGACATTGGATCTGGTGATGACTGGGACTGAGCTTGGGTAACCCCTGTGAGCTGTTGAGGTTTGAGCCCCTGTTTATAGTCTTCTAGTGCTGCTGGTGGTAGAGCCTAAAATGACCCCCATCACCTTGGAGGAGTGGTTCATGGGCCAGAGGAGCTGCCTGGAGCTAGGGGCAGGGAGATGTCAGTGACATGATGACATCAGTCTGCCATCCTGCAGGAAAAATTTACATATAATTATATACAGGGCTCGACAAATCGAGTAGATTACAACCCGGAAGTGTCGGTGCAGAGCGATCTGTGCATGCGCAGAATGATCTATGCATGCGCAGAGCGCAGAACCGCACGAAACCGTGCGGCTGGCGAGTGGGGCTCACTGCCGTTTGGCGAACCCTGTGTGTGTATATATATATATATATATATATATAAAAGAGAGAGAGAGACAGAGATTATTGTAATTGGAAAATCAAGCACCCAGAAGTTTACACTTGCCAATATTAAGGAGATTGCACCTTTGTATTCTGATCCCTATAAACATCTTCAATGTGATTTCTTATTTATAAAGTATGGCATCTAGCATGCCTTTATTTTCTTTTATTCTGATTTTCCTCCTCATAGGATAATGTAGTATTGACATATTTTTTCATGTTTATCCCTGCAAAGGCCTGCAAGAAACAGCAATATTTAATATGTTATTACTGCATCATTTGAGATACATTTAAGTATTACATTGCTGCTAAATATTCAAGAATATCTGTTATAGAGCTTTACCTGCAGTGTCTTGTTACTTGTCTGGAAAGAATATATATAACGAGACTCTAAAATCTTTAGAAATAGTGATCAATAAAGACTTCGCTTTTTTAGAGTCACTCAGTACAGTTAGGTACCCAGTTCCCTTTAGAATTCAGAAGAAGTTGAGTACCTAACTGCACTAAGCAGCTTTGATTCATACATAGCTCCATAGATTTTAAAACAACAAGTCATCAAGTCTTATTTCCTATATATGCAGACCATCGACTTTCACTCAACTCATTCTTTTGTTAAGCCTATAATTTCTGTTTCAGCTACAGCATATCTTTTAGAAAGACAACAATATTGATTTAAAGATTTAAAATGAGACAGAATCCACCACATCCCTAGTTAAGTTATTCCGGTGGTTAATCACCCTCAGGTGTTTTATTTTACAAAAAACAAACAAAACAAAACCTCTCCCCCCTATTTCTAGTTTGAACTTGTCTAACTTTAGCTTCCAGCTTCAGGACCTTGAAAATCACAGCCAAATAGATTTGTGATGTACAGTTGGCCACATACTATATAGATATGTCCAGGAATGAGAATAATTTTGGACAATGGTTAGAATGAGTTTCTAACAATCTACCCTAACTGGAGGGTTGATCATACACTAAGGTACTCTGCATTCAAAGCAGATTCTCTGCATATGCATCTTCCCTTTCCATGCAGATGGATGTTTACTATATCTATAGCCAGGTTTCCTCCTGCTTAGCTGAATAAAGGGATTCCAAGATTGAAATGTATGCAGAAAAGTTATATTATGTCTTGTACATATATGCACAACTCCTAGCAAGTATGGAGAGATGAACTGTCTCCTTTTATATACAAAAAAAAAGTATTTAACAATCACATTCAATGAGCTCTGTAAATATTTTGGGAAAAGTTAGTGGGGCGGGATGTTGACTTTGCAGCCTCTGTATATTATTTTAGCCTGAGTGATTAGCCAACATGTGAGGTCTTTCAAGGTTGTCTCTATTAGGAGGAGAAATTGATGAGAGTCATGCATATTTTAGTGTAATCCTGTTTGTTTATAAAGGACATATCCACTGCTTCCCTGTAGCCCTGAATTCAAACTGCAGGAAGTTCCCTTGTTCAGAAATCCTCTCCAGCAAATTCTAAGATCAAGACGTGTTCTCACTCTGCTTCCTCTCAGAGGCTTCTCTGGCTTTCTGGTTACTTTTTCCTGCCTGGCTTTTTTGTTGTTCACTGATCACGTAACATTTGTCAAACAATCTCCTAGCCATGGAATTTGCAGTCAGGAACTCCTCAGAACACACAGTATAGCTTTGCTTAGGCTTTGCCAGAATCCATGGTGCCTTAGTCAGTTGCTTTCTTGGTTCAGCTATCACTACATCAAGTGGCTTAATTGCTCCTTCCATTTAGCTTAAAAGACATACCCATAGGCTTTAATCAAATCTATAATTGTCTACAAGTCAAAGACCCACTGGATAGAAGAGATTAACAATTTTCAGCATAATCAAAATCCAAAATAAAGTGTTGTTTTGGGGGCAGGTGTTCATATTACATATTCAAATTTGAAGGAGTGCCCAAAGAAGAGAGAGATTTAATTATGTGTGGAATAAACAAATAGCATACAACTATTTATGGGCCTGATCTTTTCTATTCCCTCTAAACTTTGTGTTGTCACTGACAGCAGAGTAAAGTGACTATAAAGTGCTACCAAATCAGAAAAAAAAAGTTTTACCCAATATAGTCTTGCTTCCATTAGTGCACAAAATGCAGAGCTTTGAATCTAGGCTTTGAACTTTATTCTATTTAACTATAGGGCAATGTGGAAATGAAGACCCACCTTCCTTTCTCTCTGTCCTTGGAAGCTTTGCATACTGGCTTTGATAACCAGGTAAGATCACAAATAAAAATAGCACAGAGGCATTCAATGTAATGTAATATAACTCTTCAGCTTGAGTTAAAAAATCTCCATTTGCTAAAATATTTCTAAGGGTCACACTTTTCTAAAGTCCTTAATATTTTTTGTATTGAATCTGCATGTGCAAATGCATCCTATGATTCCTGTTCTAAGTTACCTAAGTGCGGCTTGCTTTGTCGACAGAACGGGATGTAGACTAGATGCTCTTTGTTGACAGAAGCTTTGTCGACAGTATCTGTCAACAAAGCCTCTGTCGGCAAAAGCCTGTAGTCTAGACGTACCCTTAGGGTATGTCTACACTACCACCCTAGTTCGAACTAGGGTGGTTAATGTAGGCAACCGGAGTTGCAAATGAAGCCCGGGATTTGAATTTCCCGGGCTTCATTTGCATATTGCTGGGCGCCGCCATTTTTAAATGTCTGCTAGTTTGGACTCCGTGCCGCGGCTGCACGCGGCACGAACTAGGTAGTTCAGATTAGGCTTCCTATTCCGAACTACCGTTACTCCTCGTGGAACGAGGTAAGTGTAACGGTTGGTTTCCGGTATAAGGTGGTGGAAATGTGTCTGTCGTGTAATTGTACCATAGTGTCAAGGAAGTGGATCTCTTGTGTGGACTGGTTCAGGCTAAGGTTGATGGTGGGGTGGAATGGTAGGATGGAGAGAAGAGCAATCTCAGAGCATGATGCCTGGTAGAGACAATCTAGCTTGACTTTCTGCTCTCAGGCTGAGCTTCCCTAGGTTGTCAGCTAGGAAACATCTTTGTTTATAAAATCAGCATGTTCACTGTAAAAACCATGGAAAGAGAGATGTGAGAACACATGAGAATGAGTAGCTTTTCAGAACAAGGTTTTCATTTTAATCATATTTTAAATTGTTCCAGAATCTTAATGAACACCGCTTATACTACATATGAGCTGTAAGGACACAAACTGTATTCATTCATCCCAAAAGCTCCAAACTTTAGGCATATGTTGTTTAGGCCCATCATGGCCTTACATTTTTCACTCTGAGCTAGCCTCCCTTTTAGTCACTCATCAGAGATGGCTGTCATTTCCCTCAAGTTGTTAAATGAGCCTCAATGGATATCAAATGCTGAAAACTCAGTACAGCACTCGTGTCATAAGCATTTTTAGGAGATAATCCAAAGCAAAATAGATAGTGTTCTGCTTTTTAAGAAAACATAATATCGTATTTTGATTTGGCACTAGTGTCACAGTTCTGTAAAAGATGCTTTTAACAGTAACATGACAGTTGAAACTAGCTATATATTCCTAGGAATAAGTCAGTCTCTTCCTCATGAAAATACTTAATGTCACACGAAGCAGTTGTGGTTTTGGAATAAAGGTCTGTAATGGGAAACCATAACCATTTAAACCAAAACAGACAATAAAAAAATTAAACATTCATCTCTTTTTTGTTTGCAGTTACTAAATCGCTAATATCCCATAGTGTTTATTCAAGAAGAGTATTAACCAAACCTAGGGAGTAGCAATAGAAACATTGAATCATCCTCTTTAAAAATGAGCAGTTCTATCCAGAATGATGGTTAAATAATTCTTATGATGACACTTTGCTAATTCAAATAAAAGCTTCCTAATAACTGGGTACTTTTGCTGAATATAACCAAGTGGTGGCAATGTTCCCAGCTTTTTTGTGAACATAGTCCACATAAACTAATTTCCTAAGTGGCTTAGGCTTTGCCAGGGTCCTAATAGAATCATGTTTGTTTGTGGTAGCTAACAGAGCTTTTCCATTGTGAGTAAACTGTAACACAATCCATACTGAAAGCAAGATTACAGTTAGATTTGGTCAACCTCTTTGTTACTAGCTCAATGAGTTTAGCTCTCTGGTCAGTTTACAAACAGACCCAAACATGAAGTTTTATTAATTTGTTCATTATTCCTTAAAAAAAATGTGAATTTTGGATTGTCAGCAAACTGTCTATTCAGTTTAGTATTAGGAATTCAGATTTGCTCTTTGAACTTTGGCAGTTCTCCTTATCACATATTGGTTACTCTGCACTGAAGGACCCTGTCCTTTTCTAGAGTACTTCTTTCTCAAATAAACTTTGTTCCATCATAAAATTATTTTTTCAATTAAACAGATCTTGTAAATGGGACTTACTGTTAGTTCTTTCCATGTACATTTTCAAAAAAACAGTTCAGTTACACAAATGACATGTTCACAGATACATCTCTACCAAATTCAAGGACATGAAAACATGTCACAGACTGAAATGTGATCCATACTGTGATCCATATCTGGTCTTACCCATGAAGTCTGGCTAGTGTAGGGGAGGGGATGGGCGCGGATGTGGAAGGTTGTAACATTTTTGTCCCTTGCAGGGGCCAGCTCAGAACCATCTCTGAGGGCCTCACCCATATACAGGACATCCAGCTGTCAAAGTAGAACCTTCACCTGCAGCAGGACAGGAGTAATGGTTGCAATATGGTGACCCAACCACCCATAATAACCTTGCAACCTAATCTTGCAACACTGTGAATTTTCAGAAATACATATCTGAAATCGTTACCCCTTATGATTTTTAAAATCCCGGTGAGCATGAAATTGACCAAAATGGATGGTGAGTTTGGAAGGGCCCAATGCAGAGGGTGAAATTCACCCCTGTGTAGAGGGCCAGCACAAGATCTATGCTCCACTGAAGTCCTGTTTAAACTTTTCAGGATCAAGTGATGCGCAGGCTTTGTCCTGGTCACTGGTGTGAGTGTGAATGTAACTCATAAAGCATCGTTCAGATTACAAGTGGAAGGCCAGGCTTCTAATTGACCTAAATGTTTGTGAACAATGTTATGAACTCATGTGAGTCTTACAATACTTGGTGCTTTTCTTCTCCTAGAGAATCTTAGCTTTTATTTAGAATAAAAATGGTTACTGCACCTCTCATGACTATGGCAGAAAACTTGAAAACATGACTGTCGAAGGTTCAGAACCCAGAAAGCAAATGACAACACACCCATATTCATTACTATATGTACAATAAATCTCATGATTTTAGAGACATTCTAATGATTGGGGGGGAGGGGGGGAGAAGACACATGATATTTGAAGCTGTGACATCAGTAATACTGTGGATTTCCATGTTCAACCAGCTCTCTGGCAACATTTTCCTTCTGCCTTTGGGCCTCTATGGAAAAATCTCCATGTGGTCCAGAATCCATGCTATGGACTAGAATGGGAAGTGATCAGACAGTAGAGAACACAAAATGTCCCCCTTCTGAGTCCACAGAACATAGTCCAAGTTAATACCAGACAGGACTGTTACTCTTTCTACATTACAGGAGTCAGCCATTGACTGGCAATGGCTTTAGAAATGGGGTAATGCCAAGGGAGCTATGGTGCCAGGGAGCCAATGGGTGAAGTACTAGGAGCCAAAGCTGGTGTAGAGGTTGGAGCCTTCTCATGAAGAGAGCCCTGGCCTCTTCCACATACCCAGAGATCTGACAGGCTTACAAATGGGCTTCCCAAAAGCTTTGAAATCTACTTTAAAGATGCCATCAGCAGATGTAACTAATGGAAAGGTGAGAGGGAGGGAGAACAAGGGAAGCAGTGGCAAGTAATGTGTAGTTTTGTAGAGTATGCATGGGAATTAACAGTTTTATTAGGTCATGGGACAGTCCTCCATGAGCAGAGCTTGAAAGCCCTGTTGCTTTTTACATTTTGAGCTAGACTGGGTAAAGCTCCACTATTTATACATTGTGGAATAAACCTGAATTGGCAGGTAGAATTACTACTTGGTTTAATTAATTTTTTAATGTAAATATGTCTATAGCATTGTTAATGCACCTATTATTGTGGTGGTTCTTTGTCAAATCTCTTTTCTTTAATATACCCAAACTTCTTTGATATACCAAGTAAGGGTTAATACACAAGACTAATGAGGGTTAATACAAGTTTAATTGTTATATGGAATTTATTGGTCATGGGCAGGGAGGAAGAGCACAAATATATAAGACCTAATCAGAGCTTCAAAATCCCTCAACAGGATCTCAAAATGAATGGAGAGAGAATATGCCATGCCATGAGTTTTTCTCTGTAAAAAAACCAAGTTATTTTAATAACAAGGAATTTACTACCATAAATATCTGGTGATAACAAACATAGTGGAACTAATGGTAATAGAATGTTACACCAATACTATTCATGGTCAAAACCGTATATTTGAGAAACCACAACAATAATTGCAATAAAGATGTTGCCTCTGTTTCTTTTTGGAGTCACAGTGAGAGGAATTTTAGTACCTGTACATGTCAAATAAACCAGTCAGACATAACCTGGCATTGAACAAGCATCCCGATGAAGTGCTGGCAGAACACTAGAATCATGATCTGCAGCACCCGAGTTCAGATGACCAGGATTTTAAGGAGACAGTGTTCAGAACAAGTGTATTGCCAAGAAAGACTACTGCAGTTACCATGCGTGTAGAACAGAGGGCAACATACATTTCTCTTCCTGATGCCGAGCCCAAGCACCCTTAGGGTATGTCCACAGAGTCCCCTTAGCTCGAAATAAACTACACAATTTGAGCTACGCAAATTGTGTAATTTATTTCAAGCTGTCTACGCAGCACCAAATTTTGAAATTAGACCACTATTCCAACAAGTCCCTTAATCCTCATGGAACGAGGTTTGCTGAGACGTTGGAATAGCAAGCCCATAATTTCAAAAGATATTTCAAAATAACAAGTGTGCTGTCAAGACGTGGAATATGCTATTTTGGGATCCTAAAAGGATCCCAAAATAATGCCGCAATATAGATGTAACCTTAGTGCTGATTTTTAATGGTTATATTGCAAGATTATTTTTAAAAATGTAAGGAAATAATTTAGCATACCTTCTATCTTGAGTAACTGAAGTAGAAATTAAAAAAAAAGGTTTTTTGGGAGGGATGATTGACAAGATGATGGTAACCATGTTCCAATTCTAAAGCTGTTTCATAATCAAGATTTCATAAAAAGTAAAATTGCCTGAAGATAAAAATTAAAGTACCTTTGTCAAACATTTTACACATCAATGCACTAGAGTTGTTTTAAGGAATTAAATCAGTTTCTGGCAAATGATTCAATCTGCAAAGTAGACATTATATTAGTATGGAAATGAAATCATAAAAGTTAAATTGTTAGGTTAAAAAAATCTAATCTGTACAATCATGGATTTTGCTCTCTCCATACATTTTTCCAATCCCTTTCCAATTATTTTCTGAAGGAAATCCCTGAGGCAGTTTTGTTTTGCTATGAAACTAACATACTAATAAAAAAGACACAATACTGCAAGAACAATAGATCATTGTTTAAAGTTGTAGAATGTTGTGGATGTCATGCTATTCTAGGGTAATGAGATTTTTTTTAAGTTGTGTGTTTCTGCTGACTCATGAATATAGTATATTCAATTCTCCTTCTTTGCCTTAAATACTTTGTGCAAAGCATGAGACCACCAAATGCCTTTTTAAAAAAGCATGATGGTTCTGCAGTGCTAAAGTAACAAGAGATGGTCTAAGGTTGAAAACTTAGAGCTAAATTTCAAATGTCATAAAGTAAGTGGAACAGAGATAAGATTGGTGAAGTATTATCTTTTATTAGACCAACTTCTGTTGGTGGAGGGGCAAACTTTCGATCTTCAGAGCCTCTTCCTCAGGTCTGAACAAGGTAACCAGAGCATCACGGCTAAATACAAGGTGCTGCAGATTGTTACACATCAGGAGTTCATACATATTGTAGGAGATCAATGAATTAGGCATTTAATATCTCTGCAGTAGTAAGACAAAAGAAAGTTAGGGTTCATCTAGATTACATTCCTCTTTCAACAGCAAGATGTAAATTAGGCACTTCAAAATTGCAAATTAAGCCGAGATTTGAATTTCCTGCACTTAATTTGCATAATCATGTAATGCCGCTCTTTCTAAAAAGCACTATTTCCAAAGTAAAACCACAGTCTAGATGTGGTTCTTTCGAAAAGGGAAGGCTTTTTTTAAAGATCCTGTAAACCTCAAAAAATGATATGGTATTTTCTCTCTCTGTATATATATATATATATATATATAGTTTTGCTGATGTATATATATATATAGTTTTCCTGATGGACAACAGAATATTCCTGCCAAATGAGAGAATGACATCATCACATTACCAACATCAACAAGCTCTGAAAACATAGCAAAAAATAAAATTGTCATCCACATAGATGAACATAATTTGTTGGGGGAAAAATCAATATGGTTTCTGTAAAGGGATACCATGCCTTACTAATCTACTAGATAAAACAAAAAAGCAGTCATGAAGCACTTTAAAGTCTAACAAAATAGTTTATTAGGTGATGAGCTTTCGTGGGGCAGACCCACTTCTTCAGATCATATTCTGAAAGTGAATAGGCATGACCATTTTATAACAGAGGGATACTGTGACGGGGCAGACCTGCCCCGCACTCAAGCCCAGGGAAACCACCTGGTGCCGGGGGCGGAGAGGGCCCCACCCACATAGCCCTACTGGGCATGCTCCAAGGGGAGCATAGGTATAAAAGGCTGCTGGCCTGCTCAGAAGGGGCAGACTGCAGCCAGAGGTGGAGGGAGCACCCAACTGCCGAGGAGGGAGTTGACGGGACGGCTGAATGTGCCACTGCCAGGCCCAAGCTGGGCCCGACCCCAACGAAGGAGCCGCCGGCTGACACCCTGGGACCCAGGCACCGAGCTGGACACTGCCAACCCCGACACTGACTGGGGAAGTGCCGCTACAGCCACTCAACCAACGCCGACAGGTGGGGCCGCGCTGGGCCGGGGCAG